GGTGTAGGGCTCAGTGATGGGGGGCGGGGGGGTGTAGGGCTCAGTGACGAGGGTACGGTAAGTAGGGTGAAGAGCTCAGTAAAGCTCTCCTGCCCTGCATCCCGCAAAGACCCCTGAAATTGACATATCCACGTTAAGGTATGTTTGTGCACTTGCAAATTAATATAATAATAATAATAAGCATGTGAATCTCTCTACTCTACTGAAAGTTAACCAACCATATTAGTGAGGTATGATTGTACCAGTTGTGTATTATGAAACCATTTAATGAAGCCATCAGCATTAAAATGTACATTTTGTTCATTTTACTGACATTTATCTTTTGTTACAGTTTTAATTCAGCGTCCTTTAGAACGTAATCTAAAGAATTCACACAAACTCCGTATAATGCAGTGCATTTCTCGAATTGAAGAAGGGGAGGATCCAGGTTGGTGTCCTGTTATGTCATAGACCATATATCAAAATGTGTTAGTCTAATAAAAGCAGGATTGCAGTTCTCTGTAGCAACATACGTTTTGGTGAAAATGATCTGTCTAGTTTGGGGATAATAAAGAAGCATTGTGGGTTTGTGTTTTTATTTTATTGGATCACTCCAAGCACCATAGTGACTACATCCTGCTCCAGTGTATTTAGTCCCTGGTGCACTCCCAGGGTAGACAATTTGTAAATAGTGTGACAATATACCTGGGGTCCGTCAGGTTATCCCTGCCGTGCCACCTGGCTAGCTCAGTGCAACAAGGTTTTTGGCTGCACAAAAGGAGGTGATGGGCACCTGGTGAACAACAGGTAAGTTGTCCTACTGTTCACTGACTGAAATGGTAATTCATGGAGCATGTCTGGTATCAGGCAATTGTCAGGTTAACAAACTACACCCCAGGAGTAAGTGCAGCCTGTTTTATTCCCCCACACCCCTTTTTTTATTTGGATTTATTATTTTATATTTCCCAACATTATTAAGTTCTCCATGCACTCGTTCCTTTTGAAACCCAAACAGACGACTGCCCGTGCTTCTGTGAAGAAAAAATGCGGTACAGCTGTTAAGGTACTTTACGTCCTGGTAATATTCCATTAACAGATCTACCCAAACACTGATTACATACTCTGTTAGACGGAAGTGCTATACCTAGTCTGTGACTGAAATGTAACCAGCCATTTTGTCTTAGATTGCCAGTTTGAATCAAACTGCATTGAAACCCCTTTGGAATCTGCAGTCAGCATTCTCGATACGATTCAAAGCGAGTTCCCTCTCAATGCAGATTTGCTCAGATCCTGCAAGCAAATGGTAAAAGAGGCTGTGAGTATTGTCTTAAACTATCATTTTTTTTCAAGTTTGCTGTAGTTTTGACAGGTTCATAACCAGTCAAATCTCAGTATGCTGTATACATGCATACAGCTACTTATCGGTCCCACCCACTAACTTGTAGTGTTTAATAAGGTGTGTATATCTTCCAGGAAGCACGGCTTCTGGGAGTTGTAGTTCAAATTACATTTTCTTTAAGTAAAACCTGATAAGTGAACTACAACTTCCAGAAAGCCCTACCGAGTTTACAAAGAACTTTCTTTCCCAGGGATGTCTAACGTGTATATTCTGTCTGCCCTCAGGCTGTTATTGTGTGCATTAAAAAGAGCCAGTTTGATAAAGCCAGCAGAATTATTCGGAAGTACATCTCAAACCACTTGGCCATGAAGGTGAGCCCTACCTTTACTTTTCATTAAGAGCTGCCAGTCTCTACATGGATGCTTGCTTGACAAGAAAAACCTACTGTAATATCGTCAGGGCTACTAGATAGCTGTAAATATTACTCTCCACCAGTAAGCCTACTGGATTCATGGCAGACTTTGTGGGTAAATTTATTTTGAGCCCTGATTTAGGTATTCTATAGACTTCCAGTAGCTATGAAACATCATTGCCCATGATTCCCTGCCAGTCCATTTCAAGTATTAATGGTCTTGTGATCTGACGTGCAAGGGGTTAATATTGGATACGATTGAAGGTCGTTGTTGCGGTGCGTGTTTTTCACTAAACTAAGATTTATTACCCAAGTAGCGTTCATTCAGAAGGCTTCAGCCTCTGCTTCACATGTTTGGTTTGTGTGTGTGTGTGTGTGTGTGTGTGTGTGTGTTAGTTACGGGTCCTGCTTTCACACACTTGCTATTTGTGGGGTTACGTCAATAGTACATAAAGGTTTTTCTTTAATTCATATGTTTGCTTGCATCAAAACTGGCAAAATTATTGAACATGACCCAATCCCTTTGGAAACTGATGGAATGTCCTTCCTGATTGTGCCAGAGGCAGTGAGCATGGAAACCAAATAATGTTCCTGCTTCTTGCTCTCCGAATGGAGCAGTTGCCATGGAAACAGATGCAATGTTCTACTTTTAGAGGATTTGGTTTAGGATCTCTCTAGACATCGCCTCCTTTTTTTCCCGTTCTCTTCACCACATGCACGTTTGCCATTGTTCTGTGTTTTGTGTCTTTCAGAAGCTGAAAGCAGAGCTCCTAGAAATTATCAAGACCAAGAATCTCAGTCATCCACTGGTCGAAAGCTTTTCCTTGGTTCCAATCAAGCAAAAGATCTACCATCTGTTTGAGCGATTTATTGATGACTCTGTGCCTTTCCTGTTGAGTGTAAGGTTTTTGTAAACCTCATGTTGTGGGGATCCTGCTCTGCTGCTTCAGTGGGGTAAATCTGAGGAATATTTGGCAGTGTGCTTTATTATGCTCTTCGCCTAACTAGGATGCACCACATCTTGTCGATGTTCGCTTTATTCTATGAGATGTATATCCGCTTTGTTTTATGTTTGTGTTTAACCTGTATCTGGTTTTCAGGTTGCTCTGAAGGGCAGGGAGTCTCTCAGCTTATCAAAAGAACCCCAGTCTCCAGTTAGACAGAGTGAGCAAGTGGAATCCCCTCCTCAGACAGATCCCCCCAAGACTCCGCAGACACCGCAGTGAGTTTACACACTCTACATCAGGGTTTCCCAACAGGTAGATCCCCAGATGTTGTAGAACTACAACTCCCCTGATTCTCAGAAAAATACACACAAAAACTGTATGATACAGGCGCTTAGATATTGGGTAATATTAGGTAAAGAGATGCTGCAACACCCTAGTGGGGATCCCTCTCACCCACCTTAAATATGTAACCCCAAAAAACAGGAAAACAGCCAAAAGCAATTCACCTCAAGAGTGGAGCATTGAATAAATGGATTGGACACCTACCCTATACAAGGGTCGTCTGGTCCTATCCTTATGGTAACTTTTATGCTACATCCAATTCATATAAATATATGGATAGAAGAATAGTGTAAATCCGTATAGTGGGTTTGTATCTGAAAGTAACTATATGAATTGTCCACTCACGTGTCACAGAGCCCTAGATAGGATAGGCTCAACTCTCTTGCACTTGTGTTGCTGCATGATTCTC